TAGGTAGCAGCCAAAGCTCTTTCAGAGTTGTTATACTGGAGTAATACACTTCTGGACTCTGTCTCTGTCACTTGTCATTTAATTATTTGAAGAAACACGAAGTGCTTCTCCTAAACACTAGAAGTAACTAATTGGAATGCTTAGCTGGAAATGTTTTCATACATTGAAATTTATTATTTTCCTGAATTTTGAAAGGAGGAGTATGGAATAATGTTAAAAGGTGGTTTTCAAAAGGAAAATACTTGTTGGTTGAATTGTAATTAATAAGCCACTTACAAATTTGTTAAATTTGTTAAATACGTTTAATAAAAAGTAATTCACCTCTACAGATTCCCAAATTCCTATTCTAGTTTTATATTAGTGCACTGAAGTCTACTCTGCTTTCAGTTTAGGATCCTATTTCTGTGGAGACCAGGATTCAAGATGATTCAGCTCTTACATTTACCATCAAATTCAAAAGTGCTTCTATCTCAAGCGTTGCAATGAATGGCAACCAAATACAATAAAACTAAAAGGATGTTTTCTGCACAATAGAGAATGAAATATGGTCGCTTTCCATAATATTAAGCAGTGTTGGCCATAACAGAAAATAAATGGGTATGTGAAATCCATATAGGATAAAAAAGAATAAAGTAACATGATCAATTTGCTTTGTGGGGTTTATGTCTTTACTTTTCATGGTGAAATTTAACTTGAAATTTAAATATAGATAGCTCCTTAAAAGTGCTTTTTGAGATTGTCTAAATATTTTCAAAGGTAGTTTGTTTGAAAGTAATATGTATGTCACTCATCCTTGTAAAGGAATTTCAAAATCTAATTTTTGTAGTGAATTGACATACAACTCATAGGTCCAGTAACTGTTCATTCACTAATTTTAAAACATCTGCTAAGGATATAAAAAGGATGAAATATCTTTGAAGCTCACATTCCAGTGAGCTTTATAATCCATTTGATTGATTATATTTCAGTCAATCAAATAATTACCATAGTGCAAGATTTAATATATTTTGGGTTTATAACCAGGAGGCAAATACATTTCAATATGTCTAATTAAAAATAAAGCAAAACTTTTGTATCCCACCTATTTAAATAAAGCTATAACAGAAATACAAGTCATTTTTTCTGAATAAATGAAATATGTATTTGGTTATAATCAATTTAGTTAAAATGTATTTAGACTTTAAATAAAAACTGTTTTATATTAGAAACACATCATACATTTTTCAACCTTTGGAGAACCAAATAATTATATTTTAATAAAAGACAATTTCCATACACCGATATTGAGAAACATTCTTTCTATAAACTATTGAGGAAGAAGAGTAGCTATGTAGCACTAGTCTTTGTTAGCTCTTTGATATGAAATAGTTCTAAGGAGACAATTTTTTGAAAAGAAAGTAGACAATAATCTTTAAAATGACAGAAATGCATTTATCATTTGGTATGAGAGGTGAAAAGAAAATAATAGGGTAAAACTTATCTTGTTAGTTTAAAAAACTCTTCTATGGATGGAAGACGCTCATGGGCTGTGCCCCATGCACTCGGGGTATTCATAAGGACTGTGGGGGGGGGTTGATTTCACATGCCCGCTGGTGGGCAGTGTGATTTGAGACGGCCCATAGATCACCCTGAAGAACTTTAAGGAGAAAGTGTATAAACCCAAACCTCACCATTTACTCCCCTGGATTTAGTTAGAAACAAACTGAACACTACAATTTGATCTCCCCGGGGAAAATGCCAAATTCTTCCAGAGCAGCTGTCACTGACAGCCGTGTAACAGGAGACTGGAGAGACAGAGGCAAAGCACGGCCGCGCACTGGCTATTTTTTCTGTCCAAAGAACTTCCACAGAGTTGGCTGCTTCCCCCTTTCAGGACCAGTCCCATGTCATCTTTTCAATGACCTCTCCTAGCTGCACCCATTAAAGCAACCTTCCCTCAGCCTCTGTCCTATCTCACTCACTCTTCGACAAAATACCTCTTGTTTGATTTACGGCATTTTCCCTATTCGAAAAACATTTTCTTTACTAATTTAGTGTTTATTATTTTTTAATGAAATGTAACACTTCTTAAGGGAGATTCCAGTTCTCCCTAAAGAACCGTGTCCTTCATTTGACAAATACGTGTTGATGTGTCTGAACACAGGTATAAACTGTTGAGCAGAGCAGGTCGGACTTTTGCCATTGTGTATTTTATCATGCAGTGGGAGAAACAAGTAGCTAGACAAACAAATGTAAAATTATAACTGTGATAAGTCAGGAAGGAGAGAAACATGGGCTATGAGAGCTTATAATGAAAAATCTAGTTTAGTTCAGTAGATTGGAGGTTTCTCTGAGGAAGAGACTTTTGAGTAAAGACTTAAACATGAGTAGATATTAACTGAAGAGTCTAAGCTGAGAGAACAGCTCATAGAACGACCCTGTGGCAAGAGGGAAGATGATGGATGGGAGGGATTGAAAGAGGGTTATGTAGCTGAAACACAGGAGCAGGGGAAAGCAAGGTACAAGAACAGATTATGGAGATCTTCATGGGCTAGAGCATGGGGGATTTAGAGTTGTGACTTTATGCTGAGCAAAATAAAATTATTGAATACTGTGTGTGCCTGAGTGCCTGAGTGTGTTCCCAGGAGAACATTATCAGATGTATGTTTAGCATAGATGATTGTGACTAATCTGAAGAGGACATTCAGATGGGGAGACTCAAAAAGGCTATATGAATATCTTAGCAGTGTCCCTCCAGAGAAATGATGAAAGTTTTGACTCAGATAATGCCGGTGGCTGGTGGAAAAGAATGTAGGTAGATCCAAGAAATGTAAAACGTCAAATTGGAAGGATTTGGTGTTGGAGTGGCCACTCTGTGAACTGGTGAATGGTGTAGCCATTCTCTGAGAGAGAAGGAACTATAAAGAAATATTGTGAGGTAGTAGATGATGAGCAAGGCTTGCTATGTTCAGTTAAAAGATGTCACTGGGAGGTTGGTTCAACCGTGACTCTTTATATTTCTTGAATTTCTATGAGTTAGAAGTTTATCTCTACTCCATTTAATCTGAACAATTATTTTCCATCATTTTTCTTTAATCACCAAAAAGAATTCTGTAATTCTGTTTCTTACAACCCCAACTTCTACATATTGTATAGAGCACCAGGTAGCCCTAAATTCTAGCTAGAGGAATTTTACTCTAGTGAAAATCCATGAATTGGCTGTTGCTGGTTCTATAGATAAAGGATATGGCTGCTCAAAACCTGCTATCAAAGCCATATCTCAAAAAAAAAATTGCTGATATCTCAACATATAATTTCACAGAACCTGAGCAGAAATTGTCAAAACCTTTTACATTTAATACAGACATCCTAGCCAAGTCAAATAACATTTTATAATGTCAGATTAGAATGATCATAGAATGACCTCAGTCATTTGGAGTTATGGCACCCTTCTAACATATTTAGCTCTCACGATTTATTACCTACCCAGCAGGCAACAGAGCCAGGCAGGAGATATTTTCACTCAAATAAAGTTATGCTGAGACCCATGTGTGAGGTATTTTTTTAAAAACATACTTTAAAGTGTCTAAACTATAGGAAAATTACATTAGCATCAAGTAACCAGAAAATGTTTTGTTCTCTTTATTTCTTTATATCATCTTAATTCTGTAGAAGCTCTGGGCTAGCACATTTTGAATTCACATTAACATTACTTTTCAGGACAGATCCTTATAGTATCATCTATTGATCTATCTATCAATTCTCACATGTCTATGTGTGTGCATTAACCACTCTAAAATACTTAGTAACCAATATGATCATAATATGTTTGGTTGAAAAGCCTATGTAAAATTTGACTACTTTACACAGTAACTTTTAGCAACAGTAACACTATTCTAGGCTAATGTAAAAGCAACAATTTCAACACTTTTGGGAAATTTATAAAATAACCTAAATACAAACAATCTGTTTGCACATACACCGAGTTGTTAAACATTAAGGAATTTACTTATAAGCTTAAGCAGTGGTTCTCAAGCATCCTAATGCCACGACCCTTTAACACAGTTCCTTGTGTTGTGGTGACCCCCAACCATAAAATTATTTTCATTGCTACTTCATAACTGTAATTTGTCTTAGGTGACCCCTGTGAAAGGGTCAATCGACCCCCAAAGGGGTCACGACCCACAGGTTGAGAACTGCTGGCTTAAAGTAAAACCAAACCATCCCAAAATTTACCATTTTGCATTACCATATTTTTCTCTCAGTTTAGAAAAAAGCAATCTTCAATTAACATCATATAATTTCACACTAAAGCCAAGAGAAAAAATAGTCCAAACTTTAACTGGCCTCTAAAATATATAAAATGTATAAATGCAAACAACCAGAAAAAGCAATACTATGTAAACAATGATATGCTATTGGGCCAAAATAATATTTGAGTCTCTCCTTCAATGGTAACAAAGGGATAGATGGATGTTCACAAAATGGAAGAAATGCATTTCCCATTTAGAAAGAGCAGTAAGGGGGCAGTAATGTCTGTTGCTGAAAGTAGTCTTTTTGTTGGGGTGAGGGAGAGAAAGGGAGAAGGAGGGAGAGATAGAAACATCCATGAGAGAGAACATCGATTGGTCGCCCCCTGCATGCCCCCACACTGGGGATCGGGCCCACATCCTGGGCATGTGCCCTGACCAGAAATCAAACCAGTGACCTCTTGGTGCATGGGTCAACGCTCAACCACTGAGCCACACCAGCCGGGCTGAAAGTAGTCTTGATAGTTTATCTTATTTATGTGGTGGGCTGAGAAGACAGTTGAATACTAGACAATCCTGTGTGCTCTCCAGGATGTGTGAGTCAATGTCAGCCCCGAAACACCACAGTGATTACCTCTGAGTGAGTTCATCATCCCTCATTTCCATGCATTTATCATCTTACATGGGAAATATTTGCAGGCAGTATATAGAAAATGTTTAAATTAAAATTCATTAAGTATTATCTACCCAATATTGAGGAAAGTAGAAAATACTCAAACTAATGTAGGATATATTCATGTTCAGAAAATTTATTCCAGTGCTCCTTTTAAATACATTTCATTATTTTCCAATTATACACAAAAATCGGTTGCATTAGAAAATTTGAGATAGAGAAAAATATAAAGAAGGAAATGAAAATCACCAATAATCTCATCTCCAAAAATGGCAACTGTTACAATTTTGTTATATTGCCTCTCAATCTTATGCATATATATAGACTATCCTGCATTTTCACTTAACACTATGTCATCATAATTTTCTGTGTTGTTAAATATTGTTAAAATGATAAATTTTAAAGTCTATATAATAACCAATTGGTTAGATGTACAATAATGTATTGAACAAATAATGTATTTATAGGTATGTTTGCAATTTCCAATGTTCATGATTAAAAATAAAATTTTTTCAACTCTTCTATATATTTGAATCCAATGACCTTTAAACCACTATGTTGGGTGTCAATACTTCAGTTTCAAGGCATAATAAATCATTCAACAAACATAAAGAGAGTCTAAAAATGTTTTGGAAAATAAAAAGAAATTAAATTTTTTGAAATTATTTTGGAAAAATAATATGGATAACTACTTTACAAGGGCACATGTTTCTAAATAACACTTTTATAATATTCTCCATGATCCAGATACCACTCACAGCAGTAGTTTTAGGACTGAAGAACCGTTATAGGTGGCTGCTGTGATCTTGCTTAATAAACGGGAAATCAGGCAGGTTTTTGTCTCTTTACGGTAGAGGAGTTATCTGGAATAGCTTGAGTGCTGAAGGGTGTTGCTCACATGTGTAGAGTCTCAGGAGGTAGAGTCATTTTGATTGTCAGAATCAACAGTTAGTGCTGTATAAAATAGACAGTTGTTACAACTATATTCATTAAATTGCAATGCAAAGGTGTTGATCTCAATAATGCTTATCTGCAAGTTAGGTTGTCTTTACAGTCCAAGTAAAGTAGAAAATAAGTAAAACACTTACCTACGTAATGCAAATCAATGTACTTGATAAAAAGAGTAAAGAATATATTTCAAAATTTTGTCTTACTTTAATTTGTAAAAAAATCAATATTTAATTGATTTTATTTTAAATTTTTTATATTAGAAAATTAATCATAACTCTTATGTTTTAACATAGTTTATTAACCCCATCATTATTTATTCTTTTAATTCCATTTAGTGGCTGATTACCAGTGTTAGCATCAGCCATTGTCTAAAAACAAAATAACTACTTTTATTTTTAAAAAATTATTTTTTCTTTATTGATTTTAGAGAGAAAGAGAGATAGAAACATCGATGAGAGAGAACATTGATTTGCTGCCTCCTGCATGCTCCCCACTGGGGATCAGGCCTACAACCTGGGCATGTGCCCTGACTGGGAATCAAACCAGCAACTTCTTGGTGCATGGGTCAGTGCTCAACCACTGAGCCACCCAGCCAGGCTGAAACTAATCTAGATTGTTTAAGACAGCAACTAGATAACTGTTATTTAATTCCTGAAGGTGTTAACAAAAACACATTTAGAACTTTGACTCTGATTCCCAATATATATAATAATAAATAACAATAAAAATTAGGATATGATTTTCTTTTTTACATGTATATTTAGTGTTGAAAGTATTACATATGTCTCCTATTTTTCCCCCCTTGACTCCCTCCTCCCCACTCGCACCACACCTTGCCTTCACCACACTACCGTCTGTGTCCACTGCTTATGCATCTATGCATGTAAGTTCTCTGGTTTATCTCTCCCCACTCCTCCCTCCCCCTTTTCCTCTGAGGAGCCACCATCTGTTCCCTGTTCCATGTCTCTGGTGCTATTTTGTCTCATTCTATCACTAAAGAAAATCACTCTTTAGTGATAGAATGAGACAAAATGCTCACGATCTGACTTATGGTTGGTTAACTAGAATGGGAAGAAACTATTTTTTCTCTCTCTATCCCACAATTATATTTTATATCAAAACCTACACCATCTTCAAGAAACAACAATTTTTGTCTGGCCAATGTGGCTCAGTGGTTGAGCATCAACCCCTGCACCAAGAGGCCGCCAGTTCGATTCCCGGTCAGGACAAATGCCCAGGTTGTGGGCCCAATCCCCAGTGGGGGGCATGCAGGAGGTGGCCAATCGATGTTCTCTCTCATCGATGTTTCTATCTCTCTCTCCCTCTCACTTCCTCTCTCTCTAAAATCAATAAAGGGGAAATAAATAAATAAATAAAACAATTTTTCTTTATTGGTTAATAATTACTACATGCATTGTTTCATTCACTATGTAAGAAATACCCTGATCAGAAACAACAAGGCTGAAACTTACCCAATAGCAAGCAGCTCTTTTCTTATTTCATTTGAAAGTACAGGTTCAGAATGAAAAAAGGATTTTAACCACCAGGTGGGTTCTGCCATTTCAGGTAACCCTATCAAATAAAATTTATATTAGTTCCTTATCAAACAAATTTGAGGGATTAAAAACAAAGAAAAATAATGAGGGTGATGCTGATAAGAAATACACTAAATACCTTGATGGGACTTGTCTTCATCTATGAAATTAATAGAATCAGAGCTAACTGAAGAAATACTGGCCTCTACAAAAGAAATAACAATAAATGAACACATATGTAACCAACAACACATACATATTTATCTCTAAACTCTTAAGTAGTATGGTTTGAAATCATTAATTCTAGCTTACACATTTATACATTTAAAAGTCAAATAAATCACCAGTTAAAAAGTCTTCCAGAATAATAAGGCATATCACATTTTGTACTAATATGGTATATTCCTTTTAATAGAGAACATCCCCATCTCTATCTCTCTCTCCATAGATATACATATAAAACTTAAAATATGTTATAAATGTTCTCAAATTAAAAATTTTAGGAAAATTAAGACTGCATATTATATTACTGCATTAGAAAAATTACACATTTATATATTTAAATAGCATACAAAAGCTATCAAACTTAGAAATCAAGGAATTACTTTTTTAAAATCATAAATAGCTTATTTGTATTATACTTGTATTTAAAACCTATAAGTATTTAAAAATATCAGAATATAAAAATAACCTCCGTGGCTATAATAACAATAAGAAATGGGCATAGTCTAACCTTGCTGTAAAAAGAATAAATCAAAAGATGTTTCCAACACAGATCTGGAAGCATCTTGAAATAAGAGATTTTCTACACATTGCTGGAATATTTTCAATAAATGACCATTTTATTTAATGAAATTTCTGACTTTTCTTTAAGAAGCTACACTTGTCTGTTGAGCTCTAAATACGCACAGGAGGACAGAGAACATAAACTGGCATGGTAGCTGCTAACCTGTTACCACAGCAGCAAAGCAGAAACTGGAAACTTCCTGAAGCATAGTCATGCTATTCCTTCTTTTCTAAGAAATTAATACTACTTTATTAATATAACATCAGTTTTAATGTATCCAATTAAATTCTAGGTATTACAATTAAATATAATTATGAACTATAAACTGATCTTCGCTTATTTATAAGTGTTAATGGCTCCATCGATACAGTACGACACAGCTGAAACAGAGAAGGGGCTGTCCTTGATGAGGCTGGAGTCTGATGGGCTCTGTTCCTTTTTCCTTCCCTGTCTCTCCCACCTTCTAACCTTCTGACCAGGACACAATCCACAGCCTACTAATATCTTACAGACATCCCTTCAAATTACACTCTCCAGGTGTCACCCCTGGTGATGATATGACTTACTTCGATAATACTGATTTTTGGCCAGGAGGCAGCCAACGGACGGTACAGATGCCATCCTGGTCCTGGGGTGCAAGCAGCAGGGGACTGCACGACAGCCTGGGAAGAGGGACAGGGAGGGGTTAGCATTAACAACACGAGTTTCTCTTCTCTTTTTTCCACATGAACATTTTTTGCAAAACAACATAATTTAATACCATGTAATAAATATCTGATAAAAAGAACTGAAAAGTTTATACAGAATTATAATAAAATATTATAATAAACAAACAAAAAATACAATCAACGAGAGCATTGTTTTGAAAAGCAAGAAAAAAATACGTATCCAAACACAAACAATGCCAACAACTTATTTAATCTGAAATAAACATGAATGTCAGAAAAAAATATGAACACAGCTATGATATAGTCACTCACCTATTTCTTTTCTCCAATTTGTTCTTTTAAAATAAATGTGATTCTAAAGTTTCATCAGAAAATGCCAAATTTGAAACAATGACTTTGTAGTGATCCAGGATAGACTGTGTTACCCCCAAAGGCTGAGAGACATCGTGCAGTGTCTGGGACCCCTGAGCACCCCTTATATTTAGCAGGATGAAACCTGAGCTGTGGTGGACAGAGAGCAGGTGGGCACACAGCCAGCCAGAGGCAGCGTGGGGAGCTCTCTGCCTGTCTGCTCTGGGCCAGTCAGTGTGCCACGTGTGCTGCCCGCAGCGTGGACAGACTTGGCCCAGATGTTGTTTTGCACTTGCCCTCTGCAAGGTGACTGCTGTGACTGCTGCTTCCTATAGGAAAGGAGGTAACAGCCACGTATCCGCTCAGCACTGGATCCAATCCCACATTCTGGGGCACAACAGCGAGGCTGCGGGCCAGCTGCGGAATTTGACATACCCACAAACACATGATGCTGGACAGAGTCACAAGGTCCCAGGGCAGTGAAGAACATGAAACACTGAAGTCTTCATGGGAAGGAACATATACTGGAAAACTTGATGATGAGTTAGAAATTCCAGTGAGAATTATACAAGACATAGAAATAACAGGTATAGGAGAAAGTATGGGACTTTATCACATTATATCACTGTTATTTATTGATACAAAAGCTAATTTCCTATTCCAATTTTAGTAAAATTTCTTATGTAAACCATTCTGCAATTTTATAGACTTAGTTTACTTGTAGGTCAAATGTGGCTCCTCTTTACATTGAGGGAATTCTCAACTGCTCTTTCAATTTATTTGATGGCTATTGGTTTAACTAGCTTACGTTAATTTTGATAACGTGGCACTACTATAAAATTACTCAGGTCAGCTAGGTTCAAATGTATGCAAAACATTTCCTTTAGTACGCTGTTAAATGTCTGTTCTGTCTGGTAGGACTCCTTTGTGTTGCCAGTATTATTTATTTCTGCCTTTTCTTTTTTTCTTGATTAGTTTTACATAAGGTTTTTCCTTTAAATTCGCTTTTTCAAGAACTATTTGGACCTTTCTTTCATTTCTTGGTTGTACATTTCATTATTCTCTGTCTTGATTTTATTCTTCTTCCTACTACTTACTTTAAAATTATTCTTAGTGTTATTTATTTCCAAATATTTTGTAACTGTCATTATGACATTTCTTGAACATTTGAATTATTTAGGTATGCTATTTATTCCACAAATGTATAATTATTTATTTATCTATTTATTTTTGTTACAGATGTTTCTCCTTTTCCCCCCAATGACACCCTCCTCAGCACTCCCGCCCCCACCCCACCTTGACAGTGTTGTTGTCTGTGTCCATTGGTTATGTATATACGCATATGAGTTCCTTGGATTCTCTTTCTGCCCTCCCAACCACCTTTCTCTGAGATTTGTCAGTCTCTTCCCTGCTTCAATATCTCTGAATCTGTTTTTCTCATCAGCTTATTTTGTTCATTATATTCTACAAATAAGAGAGATTATGTGATATTTGTCTTTCTCTGACAGGTTTATTTCTCTTAGCATAATACTCTCCAGGTCCCTCCATGTTGTCTCAAAGGGTAAGAGACCCTCCTTCCTCACAGCTGCAGTGTTCCCTTGTGTACATGTACCACAGCTTCTGTGCAGCCACTCCGGAAAACAGCATGGAGTCTCCTCATAAAATTAAAAATGGAACTGCCATTTGATCCAGTGACCCCACTTCTAGGAATATAGCCTAAGAAGCCTGAAACACCAATCAGAAAGAATATATGTACCCCTATGTTCATAGCAGCACTATTTACAAGAGCTAAGTTCTGGAAACAGCTCAAGTGTCCATCAGTAGATGAGTGGATAAAAAAGCTGTGGTACAAATGTATAATTTTTCAAACTATCATTTTATTAATGATTAATAAATTGACCGTTCAGTGTTCGTAAGAGAGAATATTTAATTTTGATTCTTTGAAATAGATTTTTAAAATGGCTGTCAGGCCCTGGCCGTTTTGGCTCAGCGGTTAGAGCGTCGGCCTGCAGTCCAGAGAGACCCAGGTTCGGTTCCCACTAAGGGCATGTACCTCGGTTGTAGTTTGTCCCCGGCCCTGGTTGGTCATGCGGGTGGCAGCCATTCGATGTGTCCCTTTCACGTCGATGTTTCTCTCTCTCTCTCTCTCCTTCCCATTCTATCTGAACAAAAAATGGGAAAATGTCCTTGGATGAGGATAAAAAAATAAAAATAGAAAAATAAAATAAAATGGCTGTTAGTACACCCAGTCCAGGTAAACACCACAAGACTAAAATCTACCTTTTAAGAAAGAGACTTGCCACTCTAGTCTGATAATTAATAGAGTTTATTAAGGAAAACTTACATACGAGGCATGTCTTAGGTGGCTACAAGGTGAAAGGGATCCACATGCCATTTGGCAGATGCGAGAGAATTATACAGTGTAGGGGGTCATTGGGGACGGGCAGTCGTGTGCATGAGTGCGTGAGTGCTACCAGGTACGGACATTACTTTACATCTTGACCAGGTCAGGACAATAACTTTTTCCAGGAAGCAGCACATAGCAGTAGGCAAGAGAATGTTGTTGATTACATCAGAATGATCACAGATTCTGATCGGACGGACCCTAGAGGGGGTCTGCAGAAAGCAGCCTCCCTTCTGTCCTGGGTCCAGCTCCTGGCACGGACAATGGTCACGTCTTCCTCAATGTGTTCTGTATATTTGAGAATAATAAATATTCTTTATTTATTGCATATAATCATTATATGGGTCCTTTAGATTATGTTACTTAATTTTGTTAAAAAATAATCTATATACTTACCAAACTGTTTGATCTATCAGTTTCTAGTGTGATTGCATCATCTAATTCTATTCATTTTTTTTCTTATATTTGAAGCTATGTCCATACAAGTAATGATTGTGATATCTTCTCTGGAGGTCTTTGTTTCTGATTTCCTTTATCAGCTCTAACACTTTATTTTGTCCTAGATTCTAATAGATCTAATATTAATATTGCTGCACCCGTTATTTTTAACTAACCACAAGGTATATCAATTTGCATTTCTTTACTTTTAATTCACTGTACTATTTCATTTTAGAAATTACTTATAGGCACCATTATCTGTATTATTTTTCCTAATTTTACATTCAAACACACAGTTAAAAATATGGATTTAATTCATTAATATTTGCTGGAATTAATCATATGTTTGAACTTTCTCCTATCATCTCATTCTGCGGTTTGATATAACCACATTTCTTCTTGTGTAGTCCTTTCTCTCTTCTCCCTTTTAGAAATAATATATATTTTTTCTTATTTTGTTTATTTACTTTTGATCTTTGAATGAGTATTCCTGTTTTTATTACCATAGATACTCAACTCTGTGTTTCTTAGTAAGTCTATTCTGCAGTTGCTCTGGACTTGTCTAATTTCAGAATTTGCTTTATTAATTCTCTACTGTATTCAGAATGTACATTTTACCCAAGGGCTCATCTTCTTTTTCGCTTTGGAGAATTCTCTGTTATTTTTCTTTCAAATGTTGCTTTTATACTCTACTGATTATATCTTCCCAGAGTAATCCATCACAAACACACATGTGTACATACACCAGTAAGTGACATAAAACAATAAGCATATATTTCTTACATCAGCTGATAACAAGTAGTAAATGTGCTTACACATTTGCAGATTAGCTGAAGAGGATGATTTTTATCTGATTGCTTTCTGATTCATTTTTTTTCAATATCTAACTGTTAAAATGAGTTACAACCACATTTTTGCTGTCTTTTGTCCTAGAATAAGTTATGCTAACATTTCTCTTTGATAACAACAGGAAGAGAGTGTTTGCCCAGCTGTGATGACACACTTCAAACCAACCTGGAAGATATGTCTGTTCAGACAAAATTAGATGTAAGAAGGAGTGAGTATTAATTAAAGTCAACTGCAACCTTTTTGGCAGGTGATCTCTTTATCACATGCAAGATGCTGTTACTCTTTTTAATTTTATTGACATTGAATGAAGTAGTAAATAGATATCAGGTTGCTGTTTTGCAGAGCATGGAAATTCATGACAAGAATAATGGTTAAGCTTGTAGATAATTTATTATGACCCTGCGCTGTCATAGACAATCGGCTGATTGAGCAGTATAAGAAGATCAATATCTTACTGTCCTAGAAGGGAAGATCAATATCTTACTGTTCTGGAAGGCTTAAACTGTCTAGATCTTATTTCAATCTGCAGTTATACATACAAGATGTCAGGGATTTTAAATATGTAGTAATATCCAGGCCAGTAAACATGCCACATTAAACATACATTAGTCACCTGTAATAACTAATGCTGCAAATGTATATGTGCACCAGGTGTTTTTTAAAAAGTATGGCAATCTGCATTAAAACACTTTCCTGTAATGATTGTTTCAGGGAAAATTACCAATAATTAGTCACTGAATATTTCTGGAACTCTATATCTAACATATAAAATGGGAATAATAATATCTTACTTTATTTGAGATACAATCTAGTCCCAAGATATAGAATTCGATTGTTTAAGTTTTGTATTTCTCTGGGTTACATATAGTCTGTTCGTCAGTTACCCTGGTTGAACAAAACAGAAACCAATGCCATCTAGGAGCAGAGAAACAATTTCCTGAGAGGAGTGGACAGACAAATAAAATCCATGGAAGACAAAGAGAGCTTGATCTGAGCAGCAGAGTCATCCAGTGCCATCCCGGGAGCCCGCTCGGAGCTGCGTGGGCAGCGAACCCCGTGAGGAGCGCAGGCAAAGGAGCCGAAACTGCCGCAGCTTCACGTTCCAAGAGCTGGGCTGCTGGCTTTCCTAGGCGACTCTTCTAAAATGTGGGCGCACCAAATACCTGCCATATATATTATTATTATTATTATTATTATTATTATTGAGTTTAGGGAGAGAGAGATGATGGGCTGCCTCCTGCACGCCCCCCACTGGAGATTGAGCTTGCAACCTGGGCATGTGCTCTGACCAGGAATTGAACCAGAAACCCCAGAGTGCATGAGGCACATTCATTCAACTGAGCCACAATGGTCATGGCAACAGTCTGCCTTCTAATATGCAGTCTGGTTAGCTCTCCACTGAGAAAGAATTATTTTCATTTTTCAAATTTCAGAT